CACAGGCTAGATTTAATTTGAGGGTCATATGGCCTGACAACACTTAGGACACCCTGTGGTTGGTGTATGTGAGGGGGAGAAGTCTGAGACTGCCATTTATTCTGTCCAGTTTGACGCAGCGGTTCCAGACACTTTTAACAGCTGTCTTTTGAAAGACTTTTGTTATTAAACTAAGTGGCTACAGTCTGCAGCTACCTTTTTTTAATAGATTAGACATTGCCTCATATAGTTAGGATTGGGTTTTGCTTTAAACCCATTCCGAAAAGGCAATGTCCTATACATCCAAACTCCCTGCGTCCTGGAATGATAAACCCCCTTCTCGGAAAGTGGAAATTGACCTGAGCTCACCTGGTTTAGCTGTGTTTGAGTTGGAAAGACTCCTATTTACTGGCAAAGCTATCATCAGCCATGCAGATGAAGTGTGGCCAAGGCTTTACATTGGTGACCAGTAAGTAAATGACTTTTTCTCTATAGATAAAATCCCACAAACTGTCTGGCAAGCGTGAAGCATGACCTTGTAACTTCTTGCTGAATATGTTACTTTCCAAATATTCTTTTGTTGTGACAGAGTGGGCTGAGCACTTTTAACAAATATTACCCAATTCTAAAGTTGGATTTAGTCCACATGTGGAAAAGGGAACTGATCATAAATCAGATTTAAATGCAGTCTAAGTAACTTAAGATCCCACAAGTTGCATTCCACATTGGGAACTTGCGTAAACTACAGCTAAGCTATGTGAGAGTATCTCCTGATGCCTAGGCATGAAAGCATGTCTCAGGTGTCTTGAATCTCGCATGTCTGAAATTGTCTTCTAAGTATCAGTCCATCACTTTGAAATATGTTGATGAATGGTTCATCAAGAAACACATGCAACATTTTACTGTATATTCTTTGGTCTATTTTCAGACACAGTGCAGAGAACCGGGATGATCTATCCATGCACCAAATCACTCACATCCTAAATGCAGCTCATAGTAAACGCAGAGGGCAGCCAGACATCTATAAAGGCATGAAGATCACCTACATGGGCATAGAGGCTCATGACTCCTGTGACTTTGACCTGAGTGTCAACTTCCAGGCGGCAGCAGACTTTATCGACAGGGCTCTCAACAGAGGAGGTGAGAGAACAGGTAGAAATTAGGATTTGGTGGAGATTAATGTTGAAATGTAATTTTTCTCTGCTTCTCAGGCAAAGTGTTGGTGCATTGCCACGTAGGAGTGAGCCGCTCTGCCACGCTGGTCCTGGCTTACCTGATGCTGAAGCAGAACCTGACCCTTGTGGAGGCTATTTGTGTTGTGAAAGACAACCGGGGTGTTATCCCAAATCGAGGTTTCCTCAGACAGCTCATCAAACTGGATGGCCGGCTCTTTGGCCCTCACTGAATCCTGCCTGATAGCATTACTGCTCAGCTTTCATCAGGAAAAATCTGATAAAGATAGCTCCCATCCTGGATTATCTTTTCATTGCCACAAACAAGTATGACAAGTTTTACATTAAAAAATATGAATCTGGTGCAGCTTTTGGTGAATGTCTGGCAGTCAGTTTACACATCAGTGCTACTTACATACAAAACATGACTTTCTACTGTATGGTACAGTATGTATATGGAGTATGGGCGGGAAACCGTAATCATCACATCAACATGTTTTTTTCATGCTACTGAAGCAAACAATGGCTGCTTTGCTTTTGGCCAGGGTTGAACAGAAATCATTACACAGAACATATGCAATGGTTGAGCAAATAAGAGGTTGAGATAGAGAATAAACAAAGCCAAAGTTCAGTTGCTATGATCAGTCTTATAAAGGGGAGATATTCCTCTGTTCAGCCTGTGCTTTGCTGTCTGTGGTTGATGATACATACTGTAAGCAGGTAAGTGGTTAAAAAGCTTTAGACAGCTCAGATCAATTGTTTTGGAAATGTTTCATAAGTTTAACTACTGCAGTTAAAAACAATATTTGACATTTTGAATTTGAGATTTTAACCCTAGGATTGGCAAATCGTTCATATGTGTTAGAGCTGTAGATGCTTTAGAAAATACTTTATTTACTTATTTATAATATTTACTCCTTTTTTAATCCTCCTTGGCGGTTCAGGGGATGTGTTGGTGAAATTTCAGGAATTTAAAATGAAAGCCCCTGAAAACATTACATATTTCTCTGTTACAATAAATATTAGCACAGAGAGAAAATATGACCTGTTCATAAAGTAACCAAGATTGTTCCATCTTTACAGAAAATAGTATGTTCCCCTATAAGCCCAACACTCAGTAAGAAGTTGATTGAGAAAATAGGTTTTCAGGGCCTTTAAAGCAACATATTAATTGTAGCTTTGAGAAGCATTACTACATGAGTATTTGCAATAGCAAACTTTGTTCAGAGATGGGAAGTATTTATGAAACATGTATTTAAAATACAAAATAGGATTTTCTAATTTGTATATGATAGGTCGATGAAAATAGCTTTATAAATATATAATGGTGTAAAATACTTTGTGAGAAGTGTTGTGATTACATCATAAATATGCTGCCTCTGATTGGTGCCTACTCAGTTATTTGCCCAGACTTATTGATATCAGAGCACACTGATCCACACCCGAAGAAGAAGGTCAAGGTGAGAAACGTTTAGGTTGCTAACTTTCCATCGATTGTTTTAGCATAAATTGCTAGAATTCTTAACAGTTCCTGATAAGTTTTGGTGTTCGTTTTAATAGCCTAGGCTAAATTAATTCATGTGATGTTCTTGCCAACCATTTGATCCGAGTGCTCAGCCCTCACATTTAACATTAACTTTAAGTTTTTGAAGGTTTGACCAAAAAAAAGCGTTTCAGAATTGTTGCACAACATTACTTTATAATCCCACAGGATGATGTAACTTCTTAAAAGTACAAGCTTGCCTTATTGTCATTAACATCGTTGTGCTGCGACACCATTAGCATGTTGTCAACCCATCCACCACTACTATTTGTTGTAGCTCAGATGATGCTACATGGCGTGGCTGCTGTATTTGGTAGTTACTTTTGATATGTTTAAAGTTAGGGTATTTGGTATCTTATTTTAAATTACATTTTGATCATCATCTTTGACCAGCCCTGACTTTGTGTAACCGAAATAAACAATGCTGCACTTTTGATCTTTTGTCTTAGTTCACAATGATGCGTGCAGCACTGGGCATCTGGATCTTCTCTGCAGTGATCTGCGTGGGGAGAAGCCATCACCATATCGGTCATGATTCGGCAAACCAAGACACTGCACTAGACAGCAGCGCCAACAGTCTCTCACTGGTGACTTCAGCAAACAAAGAGTTTGCCTATCGTCTGTACAGGAAGTTAGCAGCTCATGCTGACTCAGGAGGCAAGAACATCTTCTACTCCCCAGCTAGTGTGACTGCTGCCTTGGCTGCCTTGTCCGTAGGAGCACGGGGGGAGACCCACAAGCAGCTTTTCAGCGGTCTGGGTTTCAACAACACCCTCCTGACGCAGACAGATGTGAATCAGGTCTTTCAGGTACTCCTCGAAAGGGAAAACAAGACATCAAGTGAAGGGACCGCTGTATTTGTGGACAACAAGTTCAAGCCACAACCTGAGTTCCTGGGGGCCTTGAAGCAGTACTACTATGCAGATGGGTTCAGTGTCGACTTCACCAAAACCACAGACAGCGCCAATACCATCAATAAGTATGTGGAGGAGAAGACCAATGGGAAGATAGACAAGCTGGTCGAGAACCTGGATCCAAACACAGTCATGTATCTTATCAGCTACATCTACTACAAAGGTAAAAGGTTCCATTAGATGAGATCTGGTTTGTTGTCTGTTGGCTCATTTTGATATCACACTCTATCAAGCATAAGTTGTTTTATTTCTGCTCATCAATGTCAAACAGGAAAGTGGGCGACTCCATTTGACCCCAAGCTCACCAAGGAGGACACGTTCAATGTGGACGCAAACACCAAGGTTCAAAGTTGCTTTATTTATTCAGAATGGATTTAACAGTACAACAATAATTGTGTCTTTTCCAATTATGGGACTTCATTTTTAAATTGTCATTTTCAAGGTTCCAGTCCAGATGATGAATATGGAGAAGAATGTTGAGATCTATAACGACCAGGGAATTAACACATCAGTCCTCCACCTCCCCTTCAACAGCACCTACTCCATGCTGCTGTTGTTGCCTGATGATATGGCAACACTGGAGAGAAACATTGGCGCAGGCTATATCACTAAATGGCTGAAGTGGACGAAGTCCAAGTTGGGGAAATCTTAAATTGTCCTTAAATTCTTGGTTTGAGAGCTTTGACCGGTCATGTCACTTATCACAGTCAGATCAATCACCACACATTTGTCTATTTCTCAATTTCTTTTAGGAAATATAACATATATATTCCACGGTTCTCCATCAAGGCTTCCTTCACGCTAAATGATGTGTTGACTGAAATGGGAATGACAGACATGTTTGGTGATCGTGCAGATTTGAGTGGCATTTCAGAGACGCAAAACCTGGTAGTCTCAGAGGTAAGGACAGAGAGCATATGTTAATGCACACACGTTCCCTTACATATACTCCATTCACCTTTCACCTAACTCTGCCTCCATTGCACCGTAGGTTGTTCACCAAGCTACCCTGGATGTCGATGAGGTCGGAGCCACCGCTGCAGCTGCCACAGGCATTGGCATAACCCTCATGTCCTTCCAACACATCCCTGTCTTGAAGTTCAATCGTCCATTTATGGTCGTCATCACTGAACGCAGCACAGAAAACGTCCTGTTCATGGGCAAGATTATCAACCCAAACATCTGATGGAATAAACACTGTGTTTACTGAAGCACAGCTGTTGCATCACATATACAACCTTTGTCCTGTGGTCTCTTGCTTGTGTTTGCTTTTTCATTCGTTTTTGAAGGTAAAATAATACAGAGACAACACATTACCAACAGGCATTTTCACTCACTTCGGTATAACAAAGATAAAACTTTATAACAAATACAATAAATTCAGGGACTATGGAACTTTTTAAATTTATCCTCTTCTATCTCTTCTTCACTATTTGACTGAGCACTGGGACATTTCTGCAGTTCCTAAGTAAATATATCCCAGCCTGAACAACATTGATATATTTCTCTCATTAAAACAACTTTTATATACAAACCAGTTTTGTATACAAAACTGTTTTTCCTGAAATCATAGAGGCCTCTAGGCTGGTTATCAACACAACAGGTAAGTTTATCTATATATGAAGAGATAAAGAAAATGACATGTCAGGTCAGCCCAAATGTAATGCAAAATAATAAATAATTACCAAATATTATTCATTACTTAAATCAAACAGCCACTGGATGGTCTTTCACCATGTTAGAAATATCATTAGTTAGTTACTCCAACAGGTCAAGTGTGTAGTATAATCTGCTGTGAGTGGGGCTGTATTATTTAGATGTATTTATTAGTTTGCTTTCATGAGGTAGATACATTACATTTATCCAAAGCAACTTACAATTGCTATACATGTCAGAGGTCACACACACCTCAGAAGGAACTAGGGGTTAAGTGTCAGGGACACAATGGTGGATTGAACCCAAGTCTCTCACACCAAAGGCATTATCCATTTCTTATCCATTGCGCCATCGCCACCCCAGATAGTGTACAAGCAACAAACTGCAGTCTAACCATCTGACTGTGGGTGGCAGCAGTACCAAAGATATACTACAAAAGATGAGGCTTTGCACGCTGCTCTTGCATGGTATACACTTCCTGTCTTATGGACAGATGAGCATAGATGATACAGTATTTTGAAAACTCTACTCTCTTAACTTCTTATGTCCTGTTCTTTTTGTCTTTCATTTTTTCTATATTTTATACACGTACCCCTGGTATGAACATGTTTTGTGTATAAAGTGTTCATGTATCCCATTTCTGTTCTCTAAAATATATATATTTTTTAAAGTCAAAGGTGAAAATTAAAGTAAAATAAATAAGGTAATACAATTTATTTACAAATTACAAGTAATTTGTAAATAAATTGTATTACAAAATATGAATTCATTAGAATTAATATTGAAACTTAACTGTACGAATTAATTGCAGTGATAAATATCATTAATTGTTTTAAAATGTAGGCCTAACTATTTAACCTCAGGTGGTACAGGAAGACTAAGCCACATCTTAGAGGTTACTGGTGCATTCTTGCCATATGTACTTCCTTTTCAGAGGCGAGGGAAAGCTTTCCTTGGTTAGAGTATCTTAAAATCTTGTTATTACATGTATTGTCTGGAAAGGGACCTGCTTCAATGGACAATGTTAAAAGTATAGATTTACTAATTGACTGACTGAACCATCTCTGACGACTGCGAGACACCTCTTAGATCTCGCGAGAGTGCGTGCGGAGCCAGAGACAGGCCCCAAACAAAGTTTATTCTCTCCTGGTGTGTCTATCTGAAAAATGCCATTTTAGTGTCAGAATGTTAAGAAGAGTTGTGACTTGTGAAACGTGGGTCTAATAATTACTTAGGTGACTTTGGGGCTAAACAATCGGTCATAACCTTCACGTCACGTTCACTTCTCCCATTGGAGTGAATAGACTCAGAGCGAGGCAGTGACGAAACCCACGTGACACAGATACAGGAAATGACTCTTAAGTGAACCATCTCTCTTTTTTGCTCCAGCTTTTGCTCTTGCAATAAATACCATGGCCAGTCTCACAGGCGACACGCGTCGTTGAGTGCGGTGCTGGCTGGAATCATAGAATGAATAAATCCCGTGAAGAAGAAGTTTGTCGTGTTTTGATTGGACGGCTGTAAATTTGTTTCAGACATGGCCGAAACAGCAGGAGAGGGAGCGCAAGGAGGACCCTTTTTTAACAAAGAGAGAATGAAATACAGCCCCGATGAGGAGGCCAGACTGGAAAGGCAGCATTTTTGGAGAATAATCGATGCTTTTAGATTTTACAGGTACAAAATCAATGCTTAAAATAAAGCACGAGTCAGGAAAGGGCAGTTTGTGTCAATAGGCGATGTTGCTACTAGCAAATAACCACAGCAAAGGATTGGTTCGTATTGGAGGGAAAATTGCAAACTGTTAATGGTTATCACAATTAAGTCAGCTTGTGTTTAACCAGCTTCCTGCGACATTTATGTGCTATTTTCTGACTCCTCTCATGTCATGGCTCCACCCTTACTCCCTCTAACACTGCTCACAAGTTAAAACCTAAGAGAGGAATGATGTGATCTAACTTATCATACATCTTACTTGAAAACAATAAAGAGTAAATAATATAGGGACCAGTATTGGACCCACAAAACGTGTGTTAACCCTCTGGGGGCACCTGACATGAAAAAGCTTGTGCACCAGTGTCTCTGACTTGTGTCTCTTCTCGTCAGGGTCCATGTCGAGGAGCAGGTCAAGCGCGCTGAGCGTCAGTTTCGGAGCCTACCACAGCACCACCAGAATTTGCTGCCAGATGTTTTGTCCAATTTGGCCCAGATCAGCAAGTGTGCAGACCACAACCAGGAGTTGCTGCAGGCCATCATTAACAACAGCCTCCACATGTTTGAAAACATTGAGTACGGCGAGAGGGTAAGGCTTGACTTACACCAGGTAGTCTACTGTACATAAACAGCATACACACAGATCCAAGACTGCATACAGATGTTAGTTTTTTGTTGTTATTTCCTTAAGGAAATTAGGAAAAGATGTTGTGTCTGAATCAACTTCCAGGAGGATCCGCGGAAGGCGCGACCATCCACTACATTTGACATGGACAAGCTCAAGTCCACCATTAAACAGTTTGTCAGAGACTGGAGCGAGGTGGGCCGGGCTGAGAGGGACACCTGCTACCAGCCCATAATCCAAGAGATCCAAAGACTCTTTCCAAGTGACCAATAGTAGGAAACATTATGCTCACTCACACACACTATGTAACAAACACCTGCATGCATGCCACGAAACAACGATACTCAGATGATACAATCAAACACCCTTTTACATGTGCCATGGTATCAGACCACCCTGCAATACCTCTGATAATGTGACTTACTCCATGTTTTCCATGTGATATGTGCATTTTGTACATTTTATTATGTCAGTGATGTGTCTAAGGTGAGCGTGCTGGTTCCGGGTGCTGGACTTGGCCGTCTAGCCTGGGAGATTGCTCGGCTGGGTTATATTTGCCAGGGCAACGAATGGAGCTTCTTCATGCTCTTCTCTTCAAACTTTGTTCTCAATAGGTACAGCGCAAACAGACACTAACACACCTGTGATTCCAGCTACCTTACACTACCTAGGGACTTTTCACATTCCTGTGCATACCTTCCTACAGGATATCTCTGCTTGCTTGAGGTGGAACTGTTAATTATTGAGATTAGTATTCTATAAGTCAGTGATCACAAATGAAATCAGAACACCTAATTCATATTCGGTTGTTTGGCCTTGCAATTCTGGCCTCATACTCTGCACAATACCACTTTTATCACTTTCAATTTGGACTGTTCCATTCAGGTGTGAAAAGGTGAACTCTCTGACCCTGTACCCCTGGATCCACCAATTTAGCAACAACAAGAAATCCTCTGACCAAACACGACCAATCACATTCCCTGATGTCAACCCTCAGAGCTTACCGCTAACTTCAGACTTCTCCATGGTAGCAGGGGACTTTGTGGAAGTCTACAGTGAATCAGGTCAGTAAAAGCTGTGTGGATCTTTCACCTTTTGTTAGTTTCCCTGAATTAGTACGCAGTCAAATTGAATAACACCTGGAAGAGAAATGTGCCAGTGAGGGCTTCAGGCGACTTTGTGTCCCTCCAATTAGACATCAGTCCCTCCAAAATATGCAATCTAATGAATAAACATTTTGTCCTCCCATTTAAAAATATTCTTTTAGGCAGAGTTTTTAAACATTGCTGTGTCACAAAATAATAAAACTAATTGTAATGTAGTTTTTAGAAAAGCTCCTGTAAATCTGGTAATTTCTGCTGCAATAATCTCAAAATATCTGAGATTGTGTTATTAAGGATAGACATTTCACATTTTTATTTCTTTGATTGATGACATTAGCTCACTAATACGAATGCAGGTAAGAGTCCTTACTCCAAGCTTCAAGGATGAGTTACAGATTATATACTGTACTCAAATACAGCTGATCTCCATTTGATGAAAAGTACAATATCATTACATATTTATATGACCCAAAAACAAGTGAATACTTTTGATGTGAATGTACTATATATGATGAATAATTGATCACTGTGGAATTGTGTACTTTAGTAATATTAATTTACAGCTATTGTGTGATAACATATTGTCTGTTTCTGTCAGAGTCCTGGGACTGTGTGGCTACGTGCTTCTTTATTGACACGGCTCATAATGTCATCGAGTATGTGGAGACTATCTGGAAGATTCTTAAGCCTGGTGGAGTATGGATCAACCTGGGTGAGCCAGTTTTTGTATAAAAAATAAAAACAAAAAATACACCACCATAGACATGTAAGTTATAGAGAAATATAGCACAAAATGCTCTTTTAATTTATTCATGCATTCTTGTAATTATTTTGCTTTTAGCCGTTGTAATTTCTCTTCTGGGTTCCCACTTTTCCTGGACTTACTCAGTTAAGGTTTAAATCGTAGATTAAATTAGTTGTTAGTTAGTTGAAAGTTGTAAAGTTATATCTTATCTATGGAAGCCCTAAATGGCCAATCCATTCAAATATTTATTTTACTCTGTTTTCCCGTGATAACAGGATAATTATCTCGTGGTAAGGTAAAACAGTAGTTTATCACAGTGATTTAATGGTAATTTCACTGTGCAGATCAGTGTCACTGGTTAGCTTAGTTGGTAGAGCACAGGACTGGTATGGTTAGAGTTGTGGGTTCGATCCTCACAGAAGACCAATTTTATTTCTTCTTTTTTTATCTTTTTCATAATCCTCTACAACAAAGATCTTATGAAGAGATTGGTCCATATCCATCAACCTATGGATTTTCCATTTCCCCATCATTCCCAGGCAAAGGAAATTCCTGTGCTTCCTGAAGGCTATTTCGGAACCTTTTGAAATAGCAATTGGGAAATGTGTGATTGGATTCCCCTGAATCTCTTCATTACAACTTTGTTGAAGAGGATAATAAAAAACACACAAAAGAAGAAAAACAGTTGTTGAGACCAGGGGTCACTCCTCCAATCCTTGAATTACAAGGCCTGTACTCTACCAACTGAGCTAACCAGCCACACTGTAAAATAACACACCAGCTGACCCCTGTATTCAGCTATGGTTTGTTATCTCAAGATCATGAGAAAATTATCCCGTTCTCACGGTAAAACGGAGTAATAAAATGTTTGACTCGATGGCGTCTTAGGGCTTCCGTACTTCCCTCAAAGTTTACATCTTCATTGTTTTCTTCAGGTCCACTGCTGTACCACTTTGAGAACATGGCCAATGAGCTCTCCGTTGAACTTAGCTACGAAGACATTAGGACAGCGATTGTTAACTTTGGCTTCCACTTGGAGGTAACTCATACTTTGATTTATACCCATGGCTGAACATCATGTTTGTCTTCAGGAATTTTGTTCCAGTAGTAAAACAGTGTTTATATTTCTCCTGCAGGTGGAGAAAGAGTCAGTTCAGACCACCTACACAGAAAATGACCGCTCTATGTTGAGATACGTTTATGACTGTGTCTTCTTTGTGGCACGAAAACCCGCTGGCGTGTACTTTAGCTGTCAAGAAGACGGCCAACACCAGAGTTCTGCACCGGCTATGTCACCACGGTGAGAAGATAAACACAGCCTGACGTGACTGGAAATTCATTGACAAAAAGAGGACTAAGCGACGATTAGACTGACAAAATGAAAAAGACAATGGACACAGAAAAAAAATCAGTGGACATGCATATCTACATATTTTTTATGATGTATGTCATGGAGAAATATTACCAACTCTGCAGGCCCTGTTTTTCTTTTTTTGTGGGAAGCGCTGAGCACCTGTATATGGTTCAAAGTGTAGAATGTAAAACAAAATATTGATGTACTGTGTTACGCATAACACCTGAAAATCATCTAAATACTCTATATCTCTTGATACCTGGGTTTGAGATGAGTCAGTTACACTGAGTTGCTATTTTGTTTTAGTGGTTTGTGTGTCAACTACAAGCCGTGAAGATTTCTTTTAACTGCGATCTTACTAATTCTCATCTTCATTGACTTTAACTGCCTGTGTGTGTGTGTGTGTGTGTGTGTGTGTGTGTGTGTGTGTGTGTGTGTGTGTGTGAGAGAGAGAGACAGGACAGCGAGATGTGAACATTTGCTTTTGAAATCTATTTATTTTTTTCAAATATGGTGCCAATAACTATGTCTACTCATTTGCATTGATCCTCCGTCAACCATGAAAATGTAATCAAAACATGTTTCAGCTTTTCAGGAATAAGTTGTTTTTAATTTGGAGATTTTCTGGTTTATAATCACACTTTGGAATAAAGCCAAACATTTACAAAAAATATTGAATCTCCAGAGTTTTTGTATCAAAAAAAACTTTAAGCTCTTTATTATTAATTAATTTAACAGTTTTTGTGTGTGTGTGTATGTGTGTGTGTGTGTGTGTGTATATATATATATATATATATATATATATATATATAGTTTCAGGAAAGTGTGTTCATTTAAGGCTGTTTATCTTGTTTAATGAAAATAATAGTATGTACTAATTACAATGAAAAATACATTATTTGTAATTCAAAATAATGGTTGTTGATAAATGAATTAGTGACCCCAGCATGATTTTACTGCTTCCATGGGAGCTCAGACCATCCTTATGGGAGCTGACCTCCCACTGGCTCCCACGTAACTTGAATTGTATATGTATGACTAACAGATGCACACACACACATACACACATATATAGCATGACAACCACAGCTGCATGCCATTTACTGGATGATGTAGCCAATGGAAACTTTTAAATTAAATGTTCCATTTTAGAGGCAAAGTTCAGTTTTGTAACCAGTGTTAATAGCTTAATAACTGACATGTCACATTACTTAGAGTGGATGGTACCTGGGCAATAAGCAGAAGGCCAAGTATGACAGTCACAGTCTGAGAAAAGAACAACATGAGCATTGGGTCAGAGTGCAGTTCAGCAAAATGCTAAAGCACACCCGCCTGGGAGGTCAACTGATTAAACAATTATAAAATATGCAGCATGAAAGCACAATAACAACTGAAGTAACTCTTATAACTAATTGTTGAGTGAAAGGGCAAACAACAAGCGGTGGTAACTAAATCTGTGGGAGCTCAAACATGTTTGAAGGCCCAGTTAACATCTTATAGGTTAGTAGTATTACCTTAGGCTGATCGAACAGGAAGCCAATGAATTGTCTTTTATACCAGCACGTCACGTAGCAAGCCAGAAAGTAGATCATTACAATCAGGGCTGTAGCTCCTATTGAAGAGACTGAGATCATGTCTGGTCTGTGGTGTTTTTTCTGGGAATTATTTGAAGCAGCATGGGGAAAGAACATCCTGAAATGAAAGAAAAACAAATACATGGTGGGTATTTTATAGACTAATTCCAGTATTTTTAGATTTGACAACTTTTGAGCTGACAAAAATTTATAAATAAAGGACTCTTTTTCAACCAGCAGGACTGTAGTCCTGAGAAGGCTTTGAAACAACATTTAGACAACTTGCATGTTGGGGAATAACAGTTCTTAAGGGTTCAGCGGGAGGAATTGGACTTTGACATCAGTAGGTCTATTTCTTAGTGATGTGTCGGTTTACTTTTACTAACTGAAATATACAGTGTGTGTCTGTATAGAGTTGTGTCATTTATTTATTAACCATACTATTCAGTTTTCATTAGTAGGGTGTTATTTAGGTTGTTATACAACTAGTATAGTTATTCTTGAAATATCCCACTTTTTAACCATCACTATGACAGAATATTTCCATGTACTGCAGATGAAGAATCGTGCATATTTATGTCTTACAACTAATAAGAATGTAACTTAGGCAGTGACTATTATTTATTTACTATTTATTACTTATTTCTTATATTTTTACACAGGCTGAACCCCTACACGGTTACTGTAGATTAACCAACTGTGCCATATAAATTGCTGTTCATACAAAGGCATACATCCTTACATTTGCACTCTCCATTCTCTAACTCTGTCCAATTCTCTTCTATACATTTTTAATATATTCACATTGTTTAATATTTATATATAGTAACTCCACTGTACATATAGAAGAATCAGAATCAGAAAGAGCTTTATTGCCAAGTAGTATCTTAAAGGTAGGAGGAGTTTGCTCTGGTGATTAGGTGCTAGACATAAACATACAGTTGACATAAATAAATGTAAAAATTTATAAATATGGAATAAACAGATGTTCAAGTTATAAAAGAATAACATAACTATGTGTAAAAGACAATGCCATTTACATGAAGATATAATATAAACTCATCTGTAAAAACACTAGGCTATATTTCTGGTTAGATGCAAACTGCATTAGCTCTGTACCCATACTTTGCATAATGACAATAAAGTTGAATCTAAACCGATTCCTTTCAAAGAGCCGACATTCCTATCACTTCTGTTTCTAGTAAACTCCTGGTCCAGATCCAGATAAAGTGAAAGCACGGATCATCCTGAATGTACCCGCCACAGGAAGCGACTGTGTTTACTCCCCTCTGATTGGTCATCCCGACTGCCTCTCAATGATTTTGCTACCGGTGCTGAATGTTTTGTTGAACTCATCCACGCAAAACATTAGGCAGTGAAAAGCGGCTGGACTCGGTGTCTTTTAGTACCACGTGTTGTTTGCCTTACTGCTGGTTTGGTTTAGTGCACCGACGGAGCTGACGTTCATGGCGAAGAGACGCGCCGAGGACGCTCTGCTGCACGACTCTCCCTCCAAAAGATGCTACCGCTCACTTTGCAGTGTTGACATGCAGCTGGGAAGCATGGCTCCGACCGGGGGTCTGAGTCAGCCGTCCCTGATGGCTTTACTGGGCGGCCGCTCCAGAAAGAGACCGTACTACTTCGAGGACCCTGAGAAACAAGAAGAAGCGGCTCTTTATCATCGCAAGGCCACACACTGCGACACAAGGAAGCACGCGGCAAGTGTTTTGACGGTGCAGACTTCTGGAAATTTCCAGGACCGTCGCAGCTCCAGCGCGCCCACGAGCTCCAAGAAACGCCCTCGAGAGGACTGCGCGGGTTCAGAGACTGTTATTTCTAATGATAAAGTAAGTTATACTTTATAACATACAGCAGAAGTCGGCAGTTTAGGTGTCATAGCAGTCCACTAGATGTCACCCTTTACCAGTTGTATAGCTCGCTGTATTCCCAGCGGTCTGTCAAATGTCAGAGGGTGAACTATGGCTCTGATTTAGTCCAGTTTAGGTTGATCTCACCAGTGCAGCCACTCTAAAATGTCACTGTTTGCTGCTTTGACCTCAGTCATTCTCTCTTTCTCAGGCTGATGAAGACACCAACGCTGAAGACTCCACTTACAACTCCTTCCAGTACTGGAGGGTCCCCTTACCCGAACTTGACCTTTCACTGCTAGAAGATGCCAACGACCATTCCCAAACAACAAAAGACAAGACTAAAGTCAAAGATTCGTCTTCTGATGCCATGGAAACCTGAAGATGATAGATAGGTGCAGCGATCAGCAGCAGGCAAGCATCATGATGAAAATGTGATGCTTTTCAGCAGATAGACTTGATGAAATGCATCCAGGTGAGATGCAACAACCTGATGTCGCAGACTGCCAGCCCTGTCAGAGTGATAAAGGGTGTAGCAAGTGAGCGGCATGCTGGTGTAAGATCTCAGTGAGATCAATGAGATATACACTACAGCAATACTGTTCTTGTTACAATGGGGACCCACTTCTTCTAAAGGTTGCCCATCCATCCTTAAATAGCAGAAAGCTAGTTTTCTTATAAAAAGAATATCTATTTAAAACAGCTTTCTGTTAAGTGTTTCAGACAGACTGGTGTACAACATGCTTTTTATTTTGTGCAGAATCCCTACTGTGCAAGCCTAGTATAATGTTAAAGAAATTAGGTTATTAAGTTGGGGCTATGCATAACAGGTCATATTAATATCTTTCAGAGCATGTTATTTTTATTTAACTCATCCTAAAGTTGTTGTTTGTGTGATTGATTGTGTGACTGAGTTGTAGAACGAAATATATTTTTTTCAAAACACCTTACTAAAGGCTTCAGTGTATTATCTACATGACATGGTACTGATACAACTGTTTTCTATACTCGTGCAATTTTAGTTTTGATTACTTTAAAATGATAATAAAATTCAAAGTATTTGTCAGACCTGCTATTTGATCATCACCAATATGGAAATATGGTAGCAAATTACACACACGTGACAATATACAGTAAATACAAATTTAACAGATCACACAGTCAAACCATGAAACAGTAACATATTGAGCATCCTTTCGCAGTCTATATAAGGCAATAAACACCAATTACACAATCATGTTTTGTCTTAAATTGGATGTGTTGTATATATGAAAATTAATCTTCCACTGTCCTGATAGAGCATGTACACTTAGATGTGGTCCAAAACCCCCTATATAATTTGAATATCAATTTTCAGTCAAATTAAAGTTATTGCCTACTTTCACTGATTACCATTCCCACATCTCCCTCCCTGTGGACTAGGACCAGGATGGGGGACTCTATATTATCACTTCCATTTGTTAATAGACCTGGATCTGTCTGAAGGAGGCCATGAACTCCTCAAGGCTTCTGGGAAAGGCTGTGGCTGCCCTTTGGACCGGCGGCTGATAAAAGGGCAGACAGTCAGTGCTTGTCACGGGTGTAATGATGAAATGGTGGGATTAGACTCAAGATACATGTAGACTCATGACTTACATGTGAATTACAGGTGTTTAACTTAAGTGTACAGCTATGGTAAGTTAACTTATGTACTAACGTTAATATTTATGTGATGTACTGAAGAGCCCAGCGTGTTTGTACAAACAGCTCCGCTATTTATACCTATTATAACGTGTGAAGCTATTTATCACCACTTAGGCTATTGCCGTTAGCTAATACAGCTAATGTTATCAAAGTTTACATTTGTTTGCAACATTGTAATTTAGCTAAATGTCACAGATTAGTAAAACCAGTTTCCTCAGCTTTGTATTTAAATATCGTCTCCAGCATGCACTTTAGATAAATAATATCTTTCTACAGTGCGTTATGTTATATTTAATTGGATAGCCTAATCAACGTTACTGACTTTATTGTAACCTTAATATTTCACATCTGTCGGTTTTCGCGGCTGTTACGTTTCATCGTTTTGATCAACTTGAAATCACCAATAATGGAAACGCAGTTGAGAGCTCAAAGGACTGAACCCACCATTACCATATGCCATTACAGGCATAGTTGGGACCGTCGTAAAAGTGCGATAGCCTGGCCTACGACTCATTTCAATCTTGCATAATTTCTTTGTTTTTCACTAACACTAAAATCTCAAACCACTGCCATTATAGAAAGTGACAGCCCATAAACATTTAATTCACACATGAGTTTGTAAATAAAAATCCTCCATCAATCACCCATTTCCTTAATTATGCACATTTCAAGGTTGTAATTTCAGTAGCTTGCTATAATATATTGACATCAAACCACCACTCACAGGTATTTGACATCCTCTCATAACTTTCTCAGCTGTAAGTTTGTGAAAAGGCCCTTAGAAAATCCCTTAACATTATTATCAACACTAAAGTATGCACACTTCAAGGTTTTAATTTCAGTAGCTTGTTCACTTATGAATAAACTGACATTAAACCACTTCTCATGTGTCTTGGAACACTTCTCACCACTCTCACAACTCTATTAGTTTATTGGAAAGCCCTTAGGAAATCCCTTAACACCATTATCGGTGTCATGATGCCTAACATATGTCCCTTTCAAGGAGGTGTTTTTAATAGCTTGCTCATTTCTGAATATATTGACACCAAATCACTTCTCATCTGTCTTGTTCATCCTCTCACAAATTGACGTGAAGCTCTGACACGGAGCTATTTAAGGTAATAGCTGTAAACAAGCTACAAATGGCAAACTAATAGCAAATTAAACTAACTTAACCCTGGTGTTAACTTACATGACTTATTAATTACTTAGCTAACATAACGTTACTTGCTGAGTAAAAGCTACTAGGACTCTGGTTCTTCTGCAGTATGTATTTAACCTACATTTTGTGAAACTTTATATTTTGTCTGCACAGCATTTCAGAGGAAAACAATGTATGTTTGTAACTCTGTATCTGATGATTAACTACCAGATAATGATTTTACCCGATAACCTCATTAAATATAGTGCATGGCATAGGCTAGTCATCAGAAACAATGTTACAGCTGTGAAGCTGACAAGTCAAGAGAGGTTACAGTTTCTTGTGAATGTCCTGATAGAAACAGAGTTATTATGTTACACAATGCAATATTTTATCTGTTTGAATAATTGTCAATTCTAATAAGGGAAGTTTCATGCAGAACTGCCTCACATGTTTGCCCACCTCTTTAATTATGGAATAATATTAACAGACGCTTTTGCTATACATCTGCATAACTAACCATATGAATACATGCCCATATAGAGCAAAGGATATTAAATTAGTACTTTAGTTGATTCAATGTTTCATTGTTAGTCATGTGGCAATTATAAAATTGCCGCTGCAGCACATGATAAACTAATGAGGTTTATTGTCTATAAATCAGCCACACTTCAGGACCTTGTTTAGTGTTTGCACAGTCTGACCCAGAGAGGGAGCACTCCAGCTCCCAGCCATGTTTACGAATCGCAGGAAGGGGATGTGTGTATGTTTTTCCTACCAACAATGCTTTACTGAGTGAGGCCATTGTTAAATTTGTCTGGGAAATGGAGCACAGGAGCAGGCTAGACCTTGAAAAACCAGGCAAAGCATGAAAAAAAGACTTCTGTGAAGTTCAATGGGAGGTTGACTGTTATATCTCACATCCCGTAAATGTTGAGTGTAGTTCAGGTTCCTGTGACGGGGAGTTAGTTCCCTGTGGGCATGTAGGCTGCTGCCAGCAGTGCAATGCGCTTCACTGAGAAGGTCACTGATTACATTTCTTTTCAGGGACAGTGTGTTTTCTTGCTGGAAGATGAGTTTGACAATGCATTTGAAAATATAGTGCTTAGCTGCTCCAGGATCTGTTTACTGTAAGTAAATATGTTCTCTTTTTATCCCAGTCACGAAAGTCTTGGATTGAGGAAACCTTCTTCAAGAGAGAGTGTGTGAAGTTTATCCCTTCTTCTCGGGACCTACACAGGTAAACTGGAATCAGATTACATTGATGAGCTTCCAAAAAAGTGTTCAAAGTACACATTTTTATGATTCTCAGAAGAAATACAGAATGGTTTGATTTATTAGTACGTAGTATAACATTAACAGCAGTGGTTAGAAAGAAAGATTTTCTGAGCGAAAAACTATTTGGAAGTCAGCCCTTCCTTCCAGGAATAGAAATTGCGTGGATTCTTTGATAATGTGTTATTTCCTGTTTCTTACAGATGTATTCCAGTATGCCAAGTATGCCAAAACTTGATCAGGTATAATTTATTAATTGTGTGTTTGTCTTCATACCATCCTCAAACACATTACATTCACCTCCTATGCCCTACCCCCCATTCCAGTGAAGCTCTTGTTTTATTATTGTGGTGATTTACGTATGTGTCACTTTTCCTACACCGTTTATTTCACTATTTACCCCTTTTCGTTTTTTTTTGTTTCTCTCATGTCTTGTTGATGCCATTACATATTTAGAATGGAAGTAATTGTTTTACTGTGTGACATCCTGGCTTAAGGAAAGTAGTAAGGTCTTTTATTTTGTTAATATCCATGTATAAAAACATAAGGGAAGGAGGTTATCAACAGTGTGGGAGGTTGATTGAATGAGAGATGTGTGTGAATTTTGTGGGCTGAAAAATTATGAACAACTGAACATAGAGACGTCTACCCAAGGACAAAGGGAGGTGAAGAGGAAGGGAGGGAGACAGGAACAGGGGGATTAATTGTAGCCTGGCTTAAATAGGTCAGGTGGAGGCCTGTCAGGTGCCTGTGTGTGATTTATACCAATAACAACCCTATCTTGATTTTGAGGTGCTCTGGTTTTCCTCCCTTCACCTGCTATACTTATATTAATGTTTCCATTGGCCAGATGTTGTTGTGGCTGCCTGATGGGGGAGCACACTTGGCAAGAGTCCCCTCCCACTATATCCCTTTATCCTGGTCCTGGACAGGACATGGAAGAGAACTGGTCCATAGAGCTCCATACCAAAGCCAGTCCCACCAATGCCTATGGGACCATAGACTTTCAGGACACAGCCACACGCGTCTGCCGGGCTAAGGTCAGTGAGCTAACTGTACAGTATATGTATTTCTAAGCCAAAGGAAAATAATTTTGTTTTGCACCATTATCATACCTAGTTTTTATTGCTTTTGTCCCATTTTCTACGGTAAATGTTTGTCCGGGAGGGACAAAGACAGAGATTTGGATTTTGATGGTTGTATAAACAAGCTTTGGTTTGCTATGATGAAAGATATCTACTTCAAGCGGTACTAACAAAACAGTCTCACTAGCAGTGCCTGAGAAGGGAGCGCAAAGAGCCTTTCAACCCCTAACAATACATATGTTTCCTGTCCAGTATGTTCGTGTGGCTGTGGACTCGAAACCAGAGGTGCTGCTCCAACTGATGCTGAGGGAGTGGCAGATGGAGAGACCCAAGCTATTACTCATCGTCCAGGGAGGCTCAGAAAACTTCACCCTGCCCCCTAAAGTCAAGCAGGCCTTCAGCAAAGGGCTGATCACTGCTGCTGTCAGCACGGGGGCATGGATACTCACTGATGGCATTAATACAGGTAGGTGTTACAAATGGTTTTAAAACCTGTGTGTGTACTGATCTCCAGTTACCAGAAGGTAAAATATTGAATAGCATGTACATTTCTGTATGACATGCTGTTATAAAAATACCTCCTGTTCATTTTCTTGCGCTGTGTAAACTCAAGTAGGCTGTTAATTTGTAAGGATGCCAATCCATTAATTTCCAATGTCCCTGGGTCTAATCTGTGGGGCGTACCGGCATGCTACATCCATTTGTTTGCAGTTGCACAAAGACTAATTTAATGGCAGTCTTAAGTCAGCTGAATTCTTTATTTATACTGCTGAATTGTATATTTGCTTTGCATTTAGCTGCTCTTTACATATTTTCTAGGTGTGTCTAAGTATGTGGGTGAGGCAGTTAAAACATTTGGGGGCCACGACCTGAGGAAGAGAA